TATGCTAATCGTAACAGTGTTCCCCACAGCTGCATCTGGTTGGTGTATATGGTACTGTTGATTTTAAACACTTTTGTTCAAGATTTTAAACTTGAGTGGACTAAAAAGAAAAGGAGCTGAAAGGGCCTCCCCGGTGGCACAGCGGTTGAGCGCTGGGTTGCGAAGCTGCCCGCAGCCGATGCGGCGCCAGTTCGATCCCCAGCTGCTCCCCGGCCACCAGAGGAGGGTCCCACATGGCGCGCAGACCTCTCCTGCTGCCCGCTGCTCCCCTCAGCAGTGTACTTCGGTCCTTCTGCCTGCTCTGCTCCCTGCTCTGGCTCTGGTGAATTCTCTCACCCTCCCGCGCTTCTGACTGTACCCAGTGCTTGTATAAACAAAACAAAACAAACAAACAAACAAATCAATAAATAAAAACAAGCCTCTATAAAAAAAAAGGAGCTGAAAGACACTAAAAAATTAGTGTCATGTGAAAATAGCAAACTTTTATTTTTCAAGGCAGTAGTGAAAGCCACCGTCACTTCCCTCTTTTTTTCTTACCCTTGACTTTATGGCAGTAAAGTGAATGCTGAACTCTGTAGAGACATGCTGAACAATGTAGAGTTCAATAATTCTGCAAAGGACACAGATTATGGGTGGGTATGTCAGGGAGGTTTTCTATTCCCTAAGGCAGGTGTGCAAATGAATTTAGCCTGTTTCTCCCAGGCTTGAGGAGCACAAACTTTTTTTTTTTTTTTTTTTTTAAAGATTTATTTATTTATTTATACAAGCACTGGGTACAGTCAGAAGCGGGGGAGGGTGAGAGAATTCACCAGAGCCAGAGCAGAGATCAGAACAGGCAGACTGACGAAGCACACTGCTGAGGGGAGCAGCTGGCACGGCAGGAGAGATCTGCGTGCCATGTGGGACCGTCGCCCAGTGGCCAGGGATCGAACCGGTGCTGCCGAGGCTGCAGGCAGCTTCGCAACCCAGCGCTCAACCACTGCGCCACCAGGGAGGCCCACAAACTTTTTTTTTTTTAATACAAGAACCTGGGGTACAGGCCAGAGACAGAGTGGGGAACAGAACAGGCAGATCTACTGAAATACACTGCTGAGGGGAGCAGCGGGTGAGACAGGAGAGGTCTGCTGTGCCATGTGGGTAGCTCCCTGGCCGGGAATCGAACTCATGCTGCAGTGGCTGCGGATTGCTTCATAGGTTGCATCTTAACTCCTTGCGCCACCAGGGTGGCCCCTCATTTTTTTTTATTAAACATCATGTTTATTTAGTCACAGTATAGGATTTCTCCCCTTCGGTGTGGGCACCAATTTTCCCATCACCAAAGCAATCATAGTCCAACAAAGTCCACTGTACTCTACTCTCCTCCTGTTCTTTTTTTTTTTTTTAATAATAAATTTTATTTTCATATTCCCCATACAATTGCAAACCCCCATTCTGATCCCAATCCCTCCCCTCCTGCCCCCCACCTCCCAAAGAGTGTCTCTGGTTCATAGTTTTTTGTTGACTTTGATTTTCACTTTCTTATAGTTATTCATTTTCCTGGTCCCTTATTTAAGTTTTCTAGATTCCTGCTATGAATGAGACCATCTGGTATTTTTCTTTTTCTTTCTGGCTTATTTCGCTGAGCATGACCCCTTCCAGCGCCATCCATGTTGCTGCAAATTGCACCACAAACTTTTTTTTAATGACTTCATTTTGTGATGTTAGTCAGATTGGGCCTGGAGGAGAGACCCATAAAAGCCCATGCTAGTGCTCCAGTGTAGTCATGAGCAGAAAGGCATGGAGTGCTCCTAAGTGGGGAAAGATGCATTTAAAATATCCTTCATAAAGCTGATCTTTGAGTATTTCAAAGCCTTCCTTTTTATATTCCATAGGCTTTTTGAACATTGTTTTTACAATCTGTTTATAATATGCAGGTGTTAAAACAAGCATAAGCACATATTTGGACTATAAGCCCTACTGGATAGGAGAAAAACTTCAACAACATTAGCAATGCCTAGAATTTAGGTGAAAGGCCTCTGCTCTTTCTCTTGTCATCCTCAAAACCTTAGAAAACCATCTCTAAATTTTGTCTTTTGGGGAAAGTGTGGATGTGTCCAGGAGGTTGGAGAATTATTATAATTATAAATACAAAATCAAGTTCTAAACAAAATTTTAAAAAATCAACTTTTCTAGAATACCATGAATTGTCTAAAAAATACTTAATAGGGGCCTCCCTGATGGCACAGGGGGTTAAGTCTCAGCAGTATGAATCTATCAACAGTCACTGCAGCATGAGTTCGATCCCCAGCCAGGGAGCAACCCACATGGCACAGCAGACCTCTCCTGTCTCACCCGTTGCTCCCCTCAGCAGTTTATTTCAGTCAGTCTACCTGTTCTGCTCCCCCCTTTGTCTCTGATGAATCCTCTCAGCCCAACTGCAACTCTGGCCTACACCCCAGCTCTTGTACGCGTAAACAAATAAATCTTTAAAAGAAATACTCGTGCAAGGTATTTATAATAATTATTTTAAATGGGTATATTAAAATATTTTTTTCTTATCTGTAAATTGGTCTTGAAAGATAATGTATTAAAACTGTCATTTTAATGGTATCAGGTGTGAAAATAATTGGAGGTTATCACCCCAAAATCAAAGGCTCATAATGTGGTAATGGATGAGATTGTCAGGCTAGCACATCACTAGGCGGATTGCTGCATTTTGCTTTTCTGTGGTGGTCTTCTACATTTTGACAAATTCTTCTCTGTTTGGAGATGACTTAAGCATATGGTTATAAAGTAGATCAGAGCTTTAAATCCAAATTCAAAATCATCTCTGCTGCCAGGAGTACAAGTATGTTGCCATGAATGTATACATAAATAAATGGGAAAATTATGTACACGCTTGAAATCATTTGCTTTCTGGCAATCTCTTCTGGAGAAGTGAAACAGTGGAGAAGAAAAGTTGGGAAAGAGAAATTCTTGCCCATAAGTCTTTCTTTTCTTACTGCGTGGTATTCTGAGTTTGTTCATTATGAGTTTCTAATCACTGGAAATGTGAGTTTCACCAGGGCAGGGATCATCATCAAACCAATATATCCTATCCAGTCACCATGTAAGTCCCTGGCATATAGTAGGCCTTCAGTTCATATTTATTAAATAAATAAATCTAAGAAATGAGATTAATCATAGCAGCCTCTCAGCATTTGGCTTGAATGTTTTATGGAAGGAAAGTGAGACAAAGGAACTTGAACCCTCTTGGAAGAAGAGTCTTAAGCAAATCCAAGGTGATATTTATTGCAGTCACTTTTCTTTCATTCCTTATACAGCCTTCTAAATCAAAACTGACTTTGCAGCAGTTAACATCTTCCAGAAGTATGATACCAAATCTTAGTCTTGTTCAATTCCCTCAGAGTGGCCTTAGCTCTCTGTTGTGACATGATTATTCTGAGCTCAGGAATAATGAATCTCAGTTTCACCAATAATTACATAACTTCAGATATGCTATTTATCCTTTGGTTGACTTTGGTTTCCTCCAAATGGAGACGAGTAATATTAACCCAAGGAATTGTGAAGATAAAAGGAGATAAATCATGTTTAGTTCTTTGCATACTACAGAACTTGGAAAGCTCTCCATATATGTTAGCTTTTATTATTTTCTTGCCATCCAAGGGTTTCTTCTGTTTTTCTACTTAAGCATGTGTATTATAGTTTCTAGTATTGCTGTAACAAAGCAGCCAGCTCAGCAGCTTACAACAACGAAATGTTCTTGTCTCACAGTTCTGGAGACTAGAAGATGGAAATCAAGGTGTTGGCTGAGAACACCTCCTAGGGAATAGGTCTTTTCCTCTATTTGCCTTCTTCTGGTAGTCCTTTGGCTTTGGGCAGCAAAATCACAATCTCTATTCATCATCACACTCCTCTCCCTGTGTCTCTACATTATCTATGTCTGTATCTAAATTTTCTCTTTTTATATAAATACCAATCATATTGGATTAGGACCCACCCTAATGACTTCATCTTAACTTGATGGCCTCTGTAAAGACCCAATTCCCTAGTAAGGTTACATTCTGGAGTATTGAAGATTAGGATTTAAACATATTTTGAGAAAGACACAATCAATCCATAACAGCTTGATTCTGTATCTTTTTCTTTAATCCATTGTAACTTTGCTTCCCAAAGGAAGATGCAGCAGACTGGCAGCTTTTGGATTTAAGTTTAGGTCTGCCACTAACTGACTGCTTTAAAAAGTCACTCAAATTTTCCAAGCCTGGGTTATTTCAGTATAAAATAAAGGGACTTGGCTAGATGATGTCTAGCATGTTTCCCAACTCCAAAAGATCATGATTATAATGTATCTCTCTCAACTACACTTTTTCTCACCCCTCCATGATGCTCTGTGCATCTTTGTCCCTGTAACTGATAATAACAGTTCTGATATATTTCATGATATTTTCAATTGTTCCATGTTCACTTGGATTAAAATCCCACTGTCATTAAAGCCATTTAATGGAGTTTTTACCCCAAAAAGGGCTCTATTAGATTTAGTGCAGGTGCTCATTTCTGTGTGATTTTAATTGCCTTTCAGAATTTTCTAAAGTTTAAAAATAGACTTTTTTTCATGCCAGACATCCTACATATTGAAATAAGATCCAAAGTGTGGTGTTTTATATTGTGTCTTTTCTGATGATGATATAATACGACCCATGTGAAAATCATACAACCAAGATTTAAGGGGTACGTTGAAATACGGTCTGTCAATGATTCATAGACTATTGGCAACTTTCCTGAAGTTTGTTTAAGATTACCATTATGGAGTTCTAAATGCCTACTCCACCATAACTAGAAGGAAATGTAAGAAAGAAAATAACAATTGGTGTCAACTCCGGGCAGTAACATTTTAGTATCTCCTAACCAGAAAGGGGTTGACCATAGATTCAGTATCATCAAGCTCCATTTTCTAATTCTTCACCTCATTTGAAACCTGCTGTTCTAGATGTTCAGTGAATTGTCTTTCTTTCTTTCAGCTTCCTCCATTCTCAAACGGGAGAAGAGACTGAGGACAAAGAATGTGCATTTTAGTTGTGTCACCGTGTACTACTTCACCAGGCGGCAAGGCTTCACGAGTGTGCCCAGTCAAGGGGGCAGCACCCTGGGCATGTCCAGCCGACACAACAGCGTGCGCCAGTATACCCTGGGCGAATTTGCCAGAGAGCAGGAGAGGCTCCACCGGGAGATGTTGAGAGAACACCTCAGGGAGGAAAAACTGAATTCTTTAAAACTGAAGGTAAAAAACATTAGAAACTCAATTTTTGCAAAACACCATATCCTTACTTCCATTTGGTTGAGTCAACCATATTTTGTATTTATAGTCACAGACTAATCTGCACATTTTACATACTAGATTGCCTGCCGAGACTTTTATTTTTTTTAAGTAAACAGTATTGTCTTGCACTACAAGAGATGTGAAAAACTTACTGACATTGTTTATTCATTCACTCTGTAAATATTTGTTATTGATTATTGCTAGTTTGCAGACCCTGTGCTTATATGGGACTAACTGGTATCAAAATTAAATGTGGCCCTTTCTTTCCTAGAACTTATGTATTAGTAGGAAAGAAAAATATTAATCATGAAGTCAAACAAAATAATGAATCACAGTTTCATTAAGTGCTATGAAGGAGAGTTGCAAGGTACTATGAAAATGTGTAACAAGGAATTGATGTGGTCCAGGAAGTCAAGGAAGCTTTCCACATGGAAATAACCATTGAACTGGAATCTGAACAGGTAACTAAGAAAAAGTGTTGGCAAGAGTGGTTCAGACAGCAGAAGGAACTGGTGGTACCTTATGGCAGGAGGAAGAACAATAAACACACAAAGGCTGATGTGACTGCAGCAAAGATAAGAGTAGAGTAGCGTGAAGGAAGAAGGCAAAGTTTTATCAATTATATTAAGGCTTTTTGCCCCTCTTCATTCTAATGCCATAGAAGCCATCCAAAAGTTTTAAACATGAGCCTGGACTTGTGGGATAATATTACCGGGTTCGTGCTCTCATGTGAATAGTTTTGGGGTAGGGGCTGCCATGCTGAAGGGTATGGAAGTGGCTATAGAATTCAGCCAGATAAGACACAAGAGAGAAGAAGGCAGATGGACAGAGGGAGAAATTTAGGAAGTAAAATCAATAGACCTTTATGATAAGTTGTATTTGGAAGGAAAAGAGAGGAATTATCAAGAATGACTTCTAAGTTTCTAACTTGCAAAACTGAATGGGTTGAGAGTGATTGTATCTCTGATAAGAAATCCAGGAACAGGGATGGGGGGAGAGGAAAGTAGATAATAGGATCATTTTTGAACTCACTGATTTTGAGAGGTTTTGAAATTAAAGAGATATTAATGGGTGCCCAGGTGGAATTACCTGTTGATATGCCACATGAAAATTAAACAGAGAAACACAGCTCAACTTCTTTCATCCACTAGAAACATTTTTTACATTTGTATTGCTCAGTTAACCTATTGATACATAGGAAATGCTCTCTCATCTTTATGTAATGACAAAGGAACTCTATTTTAGGTAATCCAAGGTACTTAAGCAAACACTCATTAAACAGCTGAAGTGCTGAAAGTACACCTAGTTCCCAGTATAAAGTCAACCAGCAGAGGTGTGTTGTATGTGTTAAAATACCTTTTTATGTACTTTGCAATTCATGTATATGCCTGGTTTCCAAGTGCACAACAATATTTTGCTTAAATTAAGCTAGAGACAACATAGCCTACAACATGTCTCTTAATTTCGTTGGAATATTTTTTGACAAATTTCAAGAAAGTACCATGAAATTTTGGTAGCAATCCACTAGTATTGTTTTTGCTTTTCATGATCGTTATCCATATAGCTTAATTTGATAATAATTCTCAGTTTTGGTGCTGAAACCTCCTCTTTGCCTTTCTAACCCACTGCAAACCAACTTTACCCCCTAACCAAAGAGTGAGGTCATTTCCAAACTCAAACATTGGTAGAATAATAATAATAGCTGCCATTCATTAAGTGACTCTAATTTGCTAGGCATTTTATAAACATTATTTAATCTTCACAAAAACCCAGTGGGATAGGTAAATTATGAGGCCATGTGTACAACTGAAAGCAAAGAATCACTGAGATGTTAAATAACTGGCTCATCAAAAGAAAACTGGTTATATTATCTTGTTACTTCCTATTCTTAAGTTAATGGATTACCCCCAATAGGCCTGGGAAAGACAATCTCAGTACCTATAGGGTGTGGGTTGATATTGTGTGGCAGTTTTTAACAGCTGGGAGATGATAATTCTGAAAACTAGGAGATTTATGGTGGTGAACTTTGAGGCACATTGTGCACCTAGTGAATGTTAGGGGAAGCCACACATCTGCAGGAACCTTCCTCCATGTCAGGCGATGATAAATTCTGATATTATAATTTGTATTCAGCTACTTCTATGCTTTTTAAAACTAAGCTGAAGACAACAAGAAGCAGCAAAATGAGTACTCCATTATTGATTCATTTTTTCCCATTGTGTCTAGTGTTGGGAGTGGGCCAGGCAATCATCTGAGGGGGTGACATGTCTTGGTTTATCATTGATATGTGAAAACATGCAGCTTTCCCTTTCGGTGAAGATATAAATAAAGGGCATTGCTCCTTACGAATGAATACCAAGCAAAATGATAATGGGCTTCTAACTAAGGTTGACTGATCTTCACTGCACTGTACTGGAAGTGTTCAGAAACTCAGAAGCATGAGTCACATGATAATAATGAAAGACCACAGCACTGTGGACCAGTTTGCTAAAAATATGGTGTGAACTAATGGAGGGAAACTTGTATACTGTAATTGTAATTCTTTTTGATTTTTAAAAAAATATCATTGGTGATATTTGTCTAAGATTTAGCTAAATAAAATCCAAAATTAGCTAGCTAAAAGTATTATCAAAAAATTTCATTCTGATACTTGAAATTTTACTTTTAATATAACAATTGTTTTGAAATACAAATACGTCTGAGGTAAGTAACAAGATAAATGTAGGTAAATTAAATCTGTTATTTTTGCTGGGGGGCAGTAAGGACACTGGCACAACTAGGGGTCCAAAGAGAAAAGCAAGGATTGCTAGTGAGGGTGCCCACTTTGGTTTTTCCTGGAGCTGGTTCTCTGTGAGTACCAGTTAACTGCTTATTAAGTAAGTAGAGAAAAAGCAATGTTTGACAAAACTGTTTCCAAATACTTCATCATCAAACACCTCCCAGATCCTTATAATGGAGACCAGATAAAACACCAGAAATTCATTGGACTTGGAGCTGGTAGTTTCTGTACTACTTCTTTGAAAACCAAGAGGCCCAGAACAGTATGGAGAAGTTTCTCTTTTCAGTGTGCCTCCATGTCTTTCCAGTATGTTTCTCTGGGTTTCAAAGAGAACCCATTTATACCATGGCACCTCCTCCAATGAGGCCTTACTAATGAAGTATTATAAAAAGAAATATATACTCTTCTTGACATTTCCTTATAACAAATATTTTGGAATCAAAATAAGAATAGAAATTTACTTTTTCATGATAAAATTACTTCTTCTTTAGTAATTATTTTCAAAGAAGTTATGAATTAGATATATTGAGAAATATATACAATTAAATTGTAGAACAAATCCAATGCTGTCTGGGGCATTCAAGCGTGTCTTTTTTATTGATGATTTTGTTATTCCAAATAGTGTTTTAAAACAATTAGAAGAGAAAACTGATAGAATTAAATGCATGTTCCTACAAGAAACAACCAGCTTTAGATTTCTAAATCACAGAGCACAGTCTTTTCCTCTGTCAAATCCGTTCAAATATGTCATACTCTTAGCTGTAATCAATGCAGTCATCTTAATACTATACATTTTTCCAAATTAAGTGCTGGATTTCATCATCTGTAGCACATTGTTGAACAATTATATTAGCCTCTATTCCCATTTCATATGTATCTGTAAAACGCATGAGGCAGCCATTTGTATGTTTCAAAGAGCCCTGGCATTCCATTCGCCTCTGGGTTTTATCTTAATGGATTCTACCAACTTAATTTAGCTTTGTCTGGCCTCTCTTCCTCAATGTTTTATCAACTGTACTTCTTTTTTGTTTTTTAAAGATTTTTTTTTTATTTATGAATACAAGAGGTGGGGTGTAAGCCAGACTTTGGGGTGGGCGGTGGATAGAGAATTCACCAGAGACAGAGCGGGAAACAGAACAGATTATTGAAATACGCTGCTGAAGGGAGCAGTAGGTGAGACAGGGGAGGTCTCCTGCACCTTGTGGTTAGTTTCATTGCCAGAGATCGAACTCATGCTGCAGTGACTGCCAATAGTTTCATAGTAAGGAGACAACCCCTTGCACCACCGGGGAGGCCTAACCATACTTCTTCAACCATCTTCTTCCTCTTTCCAAAATCAAGGCTACCTCCTCTCTAGTACCATTTTCAATGACTTTTCAGGGCTATAACCTTTTTTCAATTTCCCAGTCATGTATTCATGAACTAATGCTTGGTTGTTTGCTCTTTCTTCATAAAAAAGAGTTGCCTGATGGTGGGTCTTACTTTAATGATCAATCTTTAAGAAAAATTTCTAAACTCTGCTTACCCCTTACCTCTGTTAGAGACTGTATCAATTATTTAAGAGCATACTATTGCCTTTGCTTCCAGAATACATCCCTAAATGCAAACATGCTGCAACACCAAATGGAAAACCTTAATATCCAAATACTTACCATAAAACATATTTTAACAAGTACAAAAAAAATACACCTAATAAAATGATAGAAACTGAGACTTGGTTTTAGCATCTGGCAAATGCAATACATTTAAGAATATGGTCTTTTAAAATATTGCCAGTATTTTCACTTAAGTGGAGCAATAAAGCATATGTAATCAAATCTTTACATTCTTCCTGTGCAATTAATACTGGCCTTCTAGTTAAGGAGAAGACAGCTGTACTGATACTCCTGATTAAAATTTGGTGTGTACCCAGTGATCTGCTAGATCCAACTCACTATGGTTGGTCACTGAAATAGATTATGTACATTTCTACTTAATGAAATTATCCACAATGAAAGTATATACCGCACTTGACTTGACGAACATCCCAAATTTGAACTTTTTTTTTTTCCCCAGAAAGTCAGTGGTTAAATACTTCCCAGCACACCTCTGGGTTCACTTGGCTTATGCATTCATTCATTTGGCTTACTTACTACTACTTAAAGAAACAATGTTGGGAGAATAAGGAATGCATAAAATGTGTGAATTGTAGATAGACTACAGAGTCTGAATAGAAACTAAACAATTCTCCTTTGTATTTTTATGTCTAACCTTCCATTTTAATTGTCTATCATTTTCTTCATGCTACTTCTGTAATTTGCACATATATTATGTTACACTAATCACACTACATATTTATTATATAGTCATCTCTCCAGAGAATTAAAAGTTCCTTGGATGTCAGGCTATCATACCTCTTTACAACCTGCAAAAAAATGCAGGTGTCAGTATAGGGGTTGGCAGTATAGCATAATGATTAAGAATATTCATTCACTGAAGAAAGATTAATTAATCAGTTACTATGGGACTGCATTTAACATAATGCTAGGGATACAATGGTGAGCAAGGTAGTTCTGCTCTCATTGTGTTCATATTATGATGACAGAGATACATGAAACCCATCACCAAAACTAATATGTTATTATAAAATTAGCAAACTAAATGCAGGCCAAGGTCAGAGTTAAAAGTTGGCTGAGGAAATCAAGAGTAGCACATTGGCTCAACTGTGAAAGCAATCATTTGAACTATCTTCTTCTACTGGTATCTCCATTATAAAGGCCACCTCCACATGCCCACGAAATAGGTGTCTATAAGAAATTGACTGGCAAGGATATTGTGTCTTCAGTTTGCTTCCTGTTCTTTTCTTTTCTGAGTTCCTGTTCTTTGTGTCTGAGTAATAGTTTTCATTTCAGAATAAGCTGACTCAAGGAAGCTCGTACTGCTCTTTTGTCTCCTGACCCTCTCACAACACTGAGAGTATACCAGTGCAAAGACAGTATCCCTTTCAATGTGCTGGTTATTTAATTTATAAACAGAATAGTTTTTGAGATACATTGAATTTAATTCCATGTTAATAGCATTAATTCCCAGCACTTGCATTAGGTATCATCAGAACCTTGGAATCTATCTGTGAGATACAGAAAAGCATATTAAAATAGGGGGAAGAGAGGGCCTCCCCAGTGGCGCAGCGGTTGAGCACTGGGTTGCGAAGCTGCCCGCAGCCTCTGCAATGCCGGTTCGATCCCCGGCGGCTCCCCGGCCACCGGAGGAGGGTCCCACATGGCGCGCAGACCTCTCCTGCCACCCGCTGCTCCCCTCAGCAGTGTACTTCGGTCCTTCTGCCTGCTCTGCTCCCTGCTCTGGCTCTGGTGAATTCTCTCACCCTCCTGCGCTTCTGACTGTACCCAGTGCTTGTATGTATAAATCAATCAATCAATCAGTCAGTCAATCAATCTTTAAAAAAATGAAATAAATAAAATAAAATAGGGGGAAGAGAATTTAGGTTTATAAGCTTATCTTGGAAAGGTCACAACTAATCTGAGCCTCACTGAAGCTTTGTGTAAGGAGGGAGCATCTGATGAACTAAAGTCTGAAAATTCAGTGATTCTATTTTGAGATGGGGAGATGGGGAAAGGACATTTAAAGGTAACATTCATGTCAAGAGAAAAAAGTGTTGTACAAAATGAATTCTCTTGTGAGAAGTGGGTTATGGAGTATATGAGTTTGCAAAAGTAGTTGAGGCAATCTCGCAAGACTCCTGGGTTTCTTTGCACTTTGGGTGTATGAGGGATGTGCGTTGCAGACAGAAGTCAGAAACTCTTTGACTCTCCACCCTATTGTGCTAATATGACAAAATGCATTTGAAGCTAAACTATGTAATACTCTGAACTTAAAGAACATTAAACTCAGCACGTTTAGAGAACAGGTGGGCGTAGACTGGCCTCTGAGGTGGAGAGCAGAGAATAATCTCTCTCAATGGCAATATACCAAACCATAATCTGTGAGGAGGGGAAGGTAAGCCAGAAACTAAAATATTTCCTATCTTCATTAGAAATGGCAGAAATGACTTAAGAGTAATGAGGAGAAAACCTTGCCAGATGGTTTCAATGTCAAAGTGAGATTTTTTTAAAATCAAGTTTAGGGTTCCTGTGGGTTCTTGAACAAATGTGAAAATAGTGTATAGCTCTGTGTGAAGGAATTTTAGATTTTTATTGAGTTTTTATTTTGAAATAAAATTTTCATTACAATTAAAGCATGTAAACGATATGCAGATTTTATATCTAAGGTCACTTATATTTGTAACAGGCATCCTCTATAGTGTTTTGAGTTCCAGGTTTGTTTGTTTTACTGGTTCTTAGGTGTCATTTGGTTACTTGTGCTGTCCTTAAAAAATTCTTGTTTTTAAATATTTGTTCAAATCTTATTTTTTGTTAACCTTTAGATTAAATATATTGTTATGGTAGCAACTCTTTTTTAAAATCAAAGCCTGTTGAAATAAAAGGGAATTTATTGTCATTCTTATGTTATCAGTAAACACAAAGGAGTGTAAATATTAAAGAACATGAAGAAAAAAAATAAAGAACATGAAGAATAAGTAGAAGGAAGTATTGAAATGAGTGGCACTAGCCAAATCCAAGGCATTTCACGTGTGCTGTGTAGTCAGAAGCTTGATAAGACTCACACAGGCAAAGCAAGAATTTCTGAAGACAAATCTAAATGCCACAAAGGTGACAAAATAAGAGGTAACTCTCCGACAGCTAATGCAGCTTTATCTGTCACAGAGGATTGAGTACGTTTTTGGCAATTATATACTTGAATCCTTTAGAAAATCAGATCTTTTTAGTTAGAAAGATGGTTCTGTTAAGTAAATGAGTCAACAAAAATGAAAACAGCAACCAAACAAATTAGCATTCTAATAGTGGACATCACAGAAAAATAAAAACATCTTAACCAATATATATGTGAGGAAATGCTAAGGAAGGAAAAAAAATGCAGATCACACCAAGAAACAAAACTCTGTAAGGGGAATGTTTATCTTTGTAAAATCACAGATTCAAGCTCTGAAAATATCTAAAATAAATAAGGTAGTAGATTTTGAAAACACTTCTCAGGAAGCCTGGTAACATATTTTAATAGACAATTGCTAATGTGTTGTTTCTTCCTGAAGTTAAGACTGGGCTTCGGTTTGTTTTTCACTATGTTCAGCAATGTCTAGTTTGGGATTTTTGGCCAATAATAAATATTCTTATCTAAGTGTTGAACTTTTTCCAATAAGCACGAGAGAATGGTGTCTAATGTCACCAGAGTATTTTAACTCTGTAATGATGGAATTATTGTTAAGATTAGAAAGCATGGCAATAATTACAATTAATGAGGTTCTTAAGTAACAAATTTTAAAATTAAATAAATAAAGACATTTTGTTCTTATTAATTTCTTTTCTATTTAGGATTTCCTTGAGTACTGCACAGTTTCTGCATTTATTCCTTCTCAGTATATAATTCTGGCTTATATAAGGAGAAAATGTCTCTAATACTTTTTCAGTAAAGGAACCATAATATGTGGTGATACAATAAAAAGTGAAATAAAGTTTCAGGGTTTACTGACAAATGAAATTAATTTAGGAAAGAAATATAAATGGTAGCAAAGTAGTTGTGGGTATATGAGGCACAATCAGAAGGTATTGCCTTGGGCAAGATTCCTGTGGACTCCTTTGAGTGTTGTGTTTATTGTTGAGTTGCCTTTGGGTGAGAACTGCCTGCACCACCCTCTGCTCCTGTCTTAAGAGAGCACACTGACCTGACTGATTACTTCATATCAAGCTCTTACTCTTAAGTATTCTGTGGGGTGACCATGTGTATGTAATCCCAATAGCCCAGTGCAGCACAACTTTATTTCCTAGTGCAGAGTTTTGCTAGAGCCCAAAAGACAGAGTCATTATTTCTAGGACAAGGCATTTGCTGATTTAGGTGGCAGTGATTTCCACTGGGGTACTGTCACCCCTGAACAAGGACGCATTTATTCCATCATCAGAGCTGGCCAACACAAACCAAGTCTAAAAATAGATCTCATTGATGGGCATATATAATCTTTGATCTTTTCCACATTACACAGGCTAAAAGCTCTAACTGTAGCTCCAAACATTAGGAGGTTAAGAGTTTCAATTAATAGTCTTCTGTAACCAGTACATTTAAAAGCCTATCATTTCTATTGGCTTCATTTTCCTCCCCATGACTTCTTAAGGAGAAAAATAAAAGGAAATGATTTAACTCACAAACACCTATTGATTATATGAACTGTTATTATACAATGACTTCATTCTTACCAAGTGTAAAAGTAGAGATTTTAGACCCTGCCCTCCTGAGTCTTCTGCTTTGTATTTTTAGATGACTAAAAATGGCACTGTGGAATCTGAAGAAGCTAGCACTCTTACAGTAGATGACATCTCTGATGATGATATTGACTTAGACAACACAGAGGTAGATGAGTACTTCTTTCTACAACCCCTGCCCACAAAAAAACGGAGAGCATTGCTGCGGGCTTCGGGTGTGAAAAAGATTGATGTAGAGGAAAAGCATGAACTGCGAGCCATCCGCCTGTCTCGAGAGGACTGTGGCTGTGACTGCCGAGTGTTCTGTGATCCAGAAACGTGTACCTGCAGCCTGGCAGGCATTAAATGTCAGGTAAGGATTTGGATTTTAGGGACTCCAGAAGCAAGACATACACCATTTCCCACAGAGATAGTGACATCACATATAGGAATGTTTTCCCATGTGTCAAGGAAATCGCTGGAGCTAGGTAAGACACAAGATTCAAGAAAAGAGAGATACTAATTAAAGAACGCTTATAGGTATCCATGATATATTTATACATATAAATATAATGTGAAAGGTAACCCAACTTAAAATTGAGTCTTCCAAAATCATTTCCTCTTGGATTCATTCATTATATTTGCTTATTTTGACTTCTTTATAAGCATTCAAGATCATGACATCCCTAACATTTGAGTGTGTATCTTCCCATCCATCCATCCATCCATCCATCCATCCATCCATGGAGTACGAAAGGATGAGGTGTCCTGGACTGGTGGAAAATTGCTAGACAGGACTTAACTCCTGGTTCTGCTTTTTATCATCTTTGTAAATTTGGCAAAGCATATAAACTTTCTGTACTCAAAGTTTCTCTATCTCTAAAATGAAGGAACTGGACTAGATGAGTAGTTGGCAAACTATACTTTACAGGTCACTCCAGCCTGTCACCTGTTTTTGTAAATAAAGTTTCATTGACTCACAGTCATGTTTGTTTGCTTGTTGTTTGCTCTCATATTGTCTGTGATTGCTTTTCATGCTTCTACAGTAGAACTGAATAGTTGCCACAGTGACTGATGACCTACATAGCCTAAAATATTTACTCTTTGGCCCTTTACAAAAATAAGTTTGCCAACTCCTAGACTAGATGGTTCTCAGTTCCCTATTTGTCTGTAATATCTTCACTGTCCCATAATTAGTTAGGTGTCTTTGTTTTATGAGCAAATGTGGCTTTTTCAATGAGCACAACAGTCATTTGGGCAGGAAAAAGGAAAGATCAGTTCTCATTAGCTGATCAGTTGCATAAAGTAGATTCCCAGAAAAAGAATTCATGACTAACATGGCTCCCGCATGTGCTACTACTTTTTATTGGGGCCATGATGACAGTGCTAAAGTCTGTCTCCTTAATAGCCACAAGGAATTCTCTGAGCTTGGATCAGGTGGCAAGCTAGGCAAAGTTTTTCTGGCTGCCTATTCTCTGGTCAGCATAAAGGTTAATTGTCAGATTTGAGACAATTAGCAAATATCTTTGAGAAATTCCACCTAACACCTAAGTAAAGAGCCCAGTCCAGTAATACTCACTGAACCCAATTACTTTATGCAGATTCCAATCACTCAAATAGTTCTGGGATATTGAGTAAATGAACATTCCCTTCCCTGAAGAAACTTCTAGTCTAATGGAGTGGGGAAGGTGCAGGGAAGCTCGGGTCTAAATCCACAAGTCCACCATCAGTCATGAATGTACATACCCATTGCAACAGCTCACACATACGCAGGTGCCGTGGATCAAAAAAAATGAGGACTCAAACCAATGGAGTGAGTTATCAGACTGCATACTAATATAGGGTGTCAGTCTAGACGCCTAAGGCAGAGAAGTTCAGTTTATAATAGCAAAGAAAAGAGGCATGTCTGGCATGGAGAATGTCCTATAATTTAGATTAAAAAGAGCAGATGGGGATAAGGGCAGTAAGTTTGTTTAAAATTGGGCTCGTGAACTGGTATATAGCAGAAGAATAAGTCATTTAGGGAAAACATAGAAGCATTGAAAAAAATGGGAGCAAAAATCACGGGGTGGAGAGAAGCTGGGAAGGAAGAATGGAGAAGAGTAAAGCACAATAGAAATGAGATGAAAATACACACCTATAACAATAACTTTTTTCACTGAATATCGGTTTTAAAACTAGATTAACTCATTTTTCAGCCTTTATTTCCCTTTTATCATTGCTATTTGTAGTTTTGTTCTGGAATAAGTAGAATTAAGTAATCCGGAGTCAAAGGGGTTGCCAAAAGGTATTGGGTTTTTATTTCGTTTGTAAGAGTTCTATGGGGCTAATCTGTGTTCTTCCTTCCAAGGTGGATCGAATGTCTTTCCCATGTGGCTGCACTAAAGAAGGCTGTAGTAACACAGCAGGTAGAATTGAATTTAATCCTATCCGTGTCCGGACTCACTTTTTGCACACAATAATGAAACTTGAACTGGAGAAAAATCGAGAGCAGCAAATCCCCACTCTGAACGGCTGCCACAGTGAGATAAGTGCTCACAGTAGTTCTATGGGCCCTGTTGCTCACTCTGTCGAATATTCCATTGCAGACAATTTTGAGATTGAAACTGAACCGCAGGCTGCAGTGCTGCACCTGCAGTCCGCCGAGGACTTAGATTGTCAAGGGGAGGAGGAGGAGGAGGAGGAAGAGGAGGACGGGAGCAGCTTCTGCAGCGGAGTCACTGATTCTAGCACGCAAAGCTTGGCGCCTAGTGAGTCAGAGGAGGAGGAGGAGGAGGAAGAGGAGGAGGAGGAGGAAGAAGAGGAAGAAGAGAAAGGGGACAGCTTCGTGGAAGGTTTGGGCACCCATGCCGAAGTTGTCCCTCTTCCCTCTGTCCTGTGTTATTCTGATGGCAGCGCTGTTCATGAAAGCCACGCAAAAAATGCTTCTTTTTATGCCAACACTTCAACTCTGTATTACCAAATAGATAGCCACATTCCAGGAACTCCTAATCAGATCTCAGAGAACTATTCTGAAAGAGATACTGTCAAAAATGGTACCCTCTCGCTGGTGCCTTACACCATGACCCCAGAACAATTCGTGGACTACGCCCGACAAGCAGAGGAGGCCTACAGCGCGTCCCACTACCCCACTGCCAACCCCTCCGTCATCGTTTGCTGCTCCTCCTCCGAAAATGACAGCGGTGTGCCCTGCAATAGTTTATATGCGGAACATAGGTCCAGTCATCCTCAAGTGGAATTTCATTCCTACTTGAAAGGTCCCTCCCAGGATGGGTTTGTCTCTACATTGAATGGTGACAGTCGCATCTCAGAGCATCCTCCTGAAAATTCTTTGAGTCTTGCAGAAAAGAGCAGATTGCACGAGGAGTGCATCAAGTCGCCCGTGGTTGAGACTGTGCCTGTTTAATAGCTTAAGTTATTCTCAGACCAGATCTCCTCCTATTTAAAGCACTGTATTTAATTGCTTTTCCTGGGCCCATCATTGTTTAAACTGAGGACCAAGAAAACTTCGACTGTGGTGAATCTTCCAGACTGTATTTTGTTTTCTCCTTTCTAACTATGTGACTGTGGCATTGCACAAATACAGTCTCCATGAGGATTTTAAAAGATTTCAGACTGTTTTGATAGAAAATGCTAATTTTAAAAAAGCATATCTCACAGTTGCCTACCTGTGAAACTGTGTGAAACCTGCCAAGCTGTGTAAATCAGAGCTCCAAGTTTTGGATTTTCGGGCCTGTGCAAGATTGTTATCTAAAACTGGGAAATACTAAGATTTAGAGTCCTAATTTTCGATATATCTGAAGATGATGGTGACTTTTTAATGTAAAAGTAATTATTGTAAGAAAAAGATTTAATCGTTCCATGTGTATTTTATTTATGGTAGTTAGAAGTCATGTTTTGATGAAAATGAACAGCAGCATGTTCTTTTAAGCTGAAGATGCATAGTTAGTACCACCGAGCATGCCCACACGGATTGCATCTGGAATCCATTCACATTTTTATGATCATGACTGATGAGATTTGCAAATACTTTCTTAAGGATGAAATAGGCCTATTTTTGCTATTTTGGACAAATAAATGAGTCTCTATGTGCAGGTCCTTCCACAGTTTTCTCTAAAGTGAAGAGTTAGGACAATCCTCCGGTGAGGGGTTAGTTCATTGCCCTCCCTCAGTTGACTCCAGAGATGGAGGTAGAAGGAATTGCCTTTCTTTTTTAAACAGCATCATCTTGGTTCTTAGCTTGGACAGCACCTTTAAACTCTACTCCCCTATATCAAAATGCACTTTAGTGCCCCTTCATGGTACCTTGTGAGGGTTGGGGACTGAGAACTCTTTGAGATGAAAATAAAATTTTTTAAAATCTGTAACTATTATAAGGTTCACATAATTAATATAGAGGAATCATCCAATGATACTTTATGAAGGAAAAGTGACCTCTTTTCCTTCACCACTCTGAAGACCTAACTCGGTAAAAGCAGAGGAGGCTGAGGAAACATGGAAAAGACACATCCTCAGCAACCAGCCTTTTCTACAGCGTAATCAATCCATCTCTTCAAAATGAGTGATAATGAGATTTCCAGGTAGTGACTAACTGATTGAAGGGGGGGGGGGCCTCTACCCAAATACTCAACTAAGGCCTTACTTTTCTGAAGCATTTTGATTTCTCTTGCCTCAGACAATTAGCAGAACAGTCCAGAATGCATTGAACACTTTCTAATTACCTCACGTTCTCTTAGTGAAAGGGAACAGATAGAAATAAACCATGCACTCCCCCCCTTTAGATTATCTGCACTTGGTTCATCGGAGGACTTCTAAAATTTAGGTTTTCTTGTAAATTAATTTAGGTAACTAGTGTGTTCTACCTTTTTTTTAATGCAATATGACTATGCTAAATCAGTTTCACATTTTTAACTTTCTATTGTTATGTCACTTCACATTTTATGCCTCTTTGAAATGTGGACATGCCTTGCTAGTCAACGACTGCATCACTGCTTAACTTTTTTTTTTAAGATTTATTTATTTATGCATACAAGAGCTGGGGTACAGGCCAGAGATGCAGGGGGTGAGAGGATTCACCAGAGACAGCAGAACAGGCAGATCTACTGATTACACTGCGGAGCAGAGCAACAGGCGAGGCAGAAGTCTGCTGCACCATGTGGGTCACCTCCCTGGCCAGGGATCGAACTCATGCCTCAGTGGCTTCAGATAGCCTCATAGTGCTGTGTGTCTCAACCCCCTGCTCCACCAGAGAGGCCCCATTGCTTAATTTTCAATGTCTTTTAGACTTGGATGTTTAGAAGTACAGCTATAAATACATTGTAGATCTCAATTCTTTAAAAAGTACTATTTTTTTAATTGAACTTTAAAATGTTTAGAGGGAGTCCTCCAATGGAAAAGTTTCTACTAAAACTTGATGTGAGGAAAACATGTTTACCTGGCAGATCTTCCACCATGCAGTTGGTTCCTGCCTGTTCTCTACCCTAAAAATGGGCCAAATTTATAACCATTAATGTGAAGGAAATTTTGGGTTTATCCTTATGGAGGTCACAGTAATGGGGATAGGAGTATCCCTTTTGAAGGTTAACCCCTTTGGGGTGATCAGACTGGAGTTTTACTCAAATCTCAGTAGTATATGCCATGCTGTCTCCAAAGTTACAGTTTTTAGTGCTTGATCTCTGATTTTTTCCCCCACCAATACAATCTATAGAGCACCAGCCCAAAGAGAAAAATGACAAAGAGGCTGTTGTTCTTTTATTCAAGCATGTGAAAGAATCGTGTGTTCCGTATTAACTGGTCCATTACAAACCTTGAAATATCTATGTATAAAGCACTTGGAATTTATTCTTGGAACACAGAGTTTGGCAGAGTGGGAAAGAGAAGATTTTGGCTGGGACAGAGTTGAAGGCTAGAATGGTGGTCAGTTTCAGAAAAGATAGGTATTTAATTTAGTTCAGCTTTATTTTCGTAAGAAGGTTTGACACTTGTTTACATTTGGCTGGTCCGTTTTGTAGTTTCATTTCCAAAAGATGCTTAACTTAGATATAGGCAAACAAGAAAACAGAGCTTTTTGTTCCCTATCCAAATGGAGTTGAAGGTCACTGAGGCACAGAATAATTAACCTTCCAACAATGACAGCTTCCTTTCCAAATTTTCATATACATAACCTAACCCCTAAACATCTCCCACAAATTGCATGAAGACACTACCTATTAAGACACTCCCATGTAACCATACATTAGAAAGATGTATACCATACACTGGACAGTGACAGATTTTAGGCAATGGCCAGTAAGGAATACTGAATTTTCCTTACACAAGAATCTGGTTGGGTTTTATAGTCTAAAAATGTGGTCTAGAAAACAGGATCATTTTTAAAGCTATATTGGGTTAAATTTGCAAATAATACTGATGGGATCATTTCACTGTTACTTTCTTTCCCAGAAAGCGAGCATAGTGTTCCATCTGACTTTTTCCCCATTAATAGCCCTTTCTATTCAACAAAATCTGCCCACATGCCAGGAAAGCATTACAGTTTTTCTAAGCTTCTTAAAAATGGGGATCAATCTCGATGCAGCCAGTTGGGATACTTAAGGTCTTTATGCCAAGACACAATAACCTGACCTGCAGCTGTTGTATTGCCCCCATAGTATATCTGACCAAATTAGTCTTTCTTGACACACAGCCTTTTAGTCATTCACTGTCAATGGCAAAGTTTCATGCTCTGGTCCCTGTTGTTTTAGCACTGGCCCAATACCTTTTATTGGGGCTTAATTCCCAGTTATAATCCAGGCCAAATTGATTTGCAAGTCAAGTGACTAAAGCAGCTTGCATCTCCTTTGTATTCTAGTTTCCTTTGGGAGAAAGAAGTCAATGAAAGAGATTTACTTAAGTTGTTTTCCTCCATCTCTTGATCATTGATTATTAAGACATAAGTAAAATTCAATTGTCTCATGTCTTTTGGTTAATTGAATATTATACTTTTGAAAGCCAATCTTTAATCGTGATGAAACTATTTTTCGCAGTGTGTCAGACAAAACATGAAGTTAATATTTATCAGAGTGATAAAATCTTAATAATCTTACATGAACCAACAATACCCCCTCCCAAAATAAAACAATAAATTACAGATACACTGGTCACAAATTAATCAAGAAAGCAAGAGAGATGATATTAAGTGATTATGTCCTTGAAAATTCTATATTCAATATTCACATGACTTGTAGACAAAATTCTGGTTTTGTTACCATTAAGCAGAAAAATATATCATTCATTTCCTATAAATTGATATATCACTTGTACTTTAAGCTTCTGATATTGTGGTGCAAGTTTATAACCCTTTGGTGTTACTAGTTAAAATTCATCAACTATTAATTCTTTCAAGAAATATTTATTGAACACCTATTAGATTAAAGGAATCATTGTAGTTGGTAAAAAGAGGGGAAACTACAAATTATAAGGGATGGTGATGAAGTGGCATGAAATAATCAAACCACCATTTTAATATGTGATTTTATAAAGAGATATTAGAAAAAGTGACATCAATTATCATCTAATTATATATGTAAACTGCGTCTAAAAGGATAATTTTTCCTAAATTAATGGAATTCACTGTGTCTTCCTTCTTCCCTTTCCCCTTAACTAAAATTTATAGCTTAAATCTGGACTCAGCTAGAATTTATCAAATAAAATAGTTTCCGCTAATTGCTCCTTCCGTGTTAGACCTATACAAATGATGCTAAATTTATACCAGCAAACTCCTACCAGACAGTTTCAAAGGCGGGTTTGACTCACACATAACTTGGGAAATTGTTCAGGAAACCTTTGAAACAACAATGTGAAACACAATCACTCTTCTATTTATACACAGCCTATCAGATAGCAAAACCCTACTTCCAAGTTCCAAAGGCTTCACCTTGCAACAGGGAGAAAAAAGTACATCCATCACCTCCCCACACCCAAACTTTTAACTGGGGTTACAAACCATCAAATTAGCAGGTAGAAAATGAACATCCTCAGAAGTCAATCCGAGACTGCCTTATTAAAATATGCCACGGTCTTCCATTTCTTCAAATATGACTTAATCTTTCTCTTTAAAATGGCCTCTGCTCCTCTTTCTCTCAGAGAATTTAGGGTGCCATGGTTAAAGTGATTCTTTAAAATGCTAACCTTAAATGGAAGCCCCTTCATGCTTTCAAAGGCCAGACTTGACCATAATTTGAAACAAATTATCTGTTGTATCCTTACCATGACCAACACCAAAAATTTAAAGCCTTAATTATTCTTGGTTTTAACAGATTTGAGACTATTGATCACATTACTCTTTCTATGGTCTGCTAGCGTGTGCTCCAGTAACTTGAATGCCTAAGCCAAATGCCACACACAGCTTTGCACAAATAGCACAGCTCATCAAATGTTTTTCTGTAGCACTAAAGAATGTAATTGACTTAATTTAACTGAATAACAGCAATTCAGAAACTCAGTAGAATTACGGAAGAGTCAGGGTGGGGTGAGCATGGAATATAAGCTTAATACATAGTCGTGTCTCCTAAGAGCCCTAATATTTCAACAGAGCTGAAAAACTAAAATTTTATTATACTGCAGAAATAAGTCACAAATATTCCAAAACTTGAAGGTTACAGTGTGGATGTTATGATGACATTCGGGCCTAGTTGGTTCTCACATCTGCTGTCCACCATCCACATCAATTACAATTTACTGTCTAAAAATAATTTGATGCTTTAAAAAGGAAAAACAGAGTTACAACATACTAAAGAAACTAAGTTTTAAATACATTTTATATTAACAGGACTGATTATTGTCAAGAGTAATGAATATGGGAATAAAAGGGTTCTTTACTGTTTTACTTGCCAAATCTGTAATCAGTGTGATGCTTTAAAAGTCACTTCTAAGTTTTATATCTTCTAAATTTTACATCAATTCTTCTCATGGCAGTCAAGCTAGACCGTGAGATCCCCTCCTAGCCCAAAAGCCAGATATGACCTGTATTTTATCTGGTGACCAGTTCTGCAGTTAGTCTAACTACGTGTTGTCTGGATAGTAGATGGTATGTCTTTGGTTTCGTATCCTGACTAGTGATTTAGACAGAATGACCTGATAGGAAACAGAAAGGTGTATAAAAGCAGATTCAAAGCCTAAACCAGTTCATTTTTTATATGCAATTTTTGTAATCTAAATATATAGCCCAGAATTTTAGTAAATACAAGTAATTGTTCCATTCATGGAAAAATGAAGTAAATTCAAAGATTTAGGTCACATTGTTAACTACTTTCATTTATGATAAATACATCACTACAAGGTAATTGATTTTTATTTGATAATTTACACTTGCTTTTTTAATTCAAGAAAAGCCAACTTTAGTGTCATTTTATTTCATCCGATGGAAGTTTTTGGCAGGATTAAAGTTTCAAAGGAATATGATAGAATTTCTTTTGCACAGTATTTGTATTCAACATGTTAATGATGTCATTCCTTTCTTTGTGGTATTCAATTCCATGGTGATGGTCCAGTCAGTTCAATAACTCATTTTAGTAACATGTGAGGTCATTTAACTATTTTTAAGATAATGTATATAGATTAGAAGGATTTAGAATAGGAAAATATTATGGTATAAATTAGCCTTGCCTTTGTCTAAGTTAATTTATGTTACCTAATTCATTTTAGTTATAATTTTGGAATAGCTTCATTGTTAGGTATCCCTTTCTTTTATCTTTTGGCTTCTTCCTAATATTTTTATCTGGCTTGGAAGTGTTTTAATGGTTACCTATTAATGAGTTACTGAAAGGAAATTGATTTAGAAAATCTCTCTTTAAAAATTATCTAGAAGTTTCTATCACCAGAAATCTTTACCATGTCCTGCTGCCTTGCTGGGGAAGACCAGAAATTCTCCTGTTAGGAGTGTGACCTAATAGTCTTTCGCTATTGTCTCTACAAAGGGAATCTATTGAAAATGAGATTGAAATTTCTAGCTTTGTAGCATAATTTACTCAATTTTGTTTGCTTCTCCTTCCTTTATTGGCCACCAAACTTTTGCACTGGCCATAAAGAAAACCAATCATTTTTAAAACTTCTGCAGTCTATGCTGTTTTGAGCTTTTATTTATATATAAAAAAAAGAAGAAAATGAAATAAAATCCAAATCTGAATTCCACTAAAGAGAAAAAACTATCTAGATTTAGTAAATAATTTGCCTGAGGTTAGTTTTCTTTTTTTTTTTAAGTTAGTTTTGATCCTTGGATGGTTTAATGATAATCACAGGATATCTGATCTTGATTGATTTTAAATATTAATTGTTGGTAAAGTCATTTTTTGGTACCAAAATCAAATGTGTCTACTGCCAAAGATTGCTGTCTGAATCTTGATTTATTAGGCACTAGTCAGGCCAAATGGGTATCTCAGAATAGTTTAATCTTTTCAAAGATACTTACAATGGCCCAACTGTGTGTGAATAATGGAAAGTTTGAGAATCTTCTGTATTCTTCAAATTTTATGGTCCTGAGACTAAAAGTGATCTCCAGAGGTCATGTGGCTCATCCGTCTACCTCCAGGGAGGACTGTCATTCAAGCATGCCCGACAGGATAGACACCCATCTATTCCGAACATCTCTAGGGAAGGCAGTTTCCTTGGCAACACAATCCAGTTCTCTTAGGTTTTTCTCACCATAAGAAAATATCTTGGCCAGTCTTTGTGGACAAGGCACCTGGCAACAGTTGTGGTGATTTGGGCTATTGTTCTGGGAGACTCAGAGGAAGTTGGGCTTCCCCTACCTTTGATGCTTAATACATTTGATGATTCCATAAGTCTCCTAAGAAATTAGATTATTTAAAATAAAGATATGGGTACTGAGGCAATACTCAGTACAGTGACATATTTTGACAAATACAGCTGTAGTTTTTTTCTTTTAATTTCTTATTTTCTGATTGCTGTGCCGTCAGAAGGCAATGTCAGGAAAAATGACCGTTTCAGATCCTCAGTGACAAACATCAGAGATAGGATCAAGTAAATGGATTTTCAAACTGCTCAAATTTTCTGAGAAGTTACAATTACATAAAGTGAGTCTTTCTATCTTGCTTCTAAATAAGTATCTTCTCATTAATCTTTCTTTACCTTAAAGTGACAGATAAGAATTTCAAATTTTCCACTCCTTCTGGAAAAGATATGACTAGTTGTGGAGAGTCTGAAGTGGAATAAAATGACTCTAGAGAATTACTCAGCCACCATTTATCCAAGCTTTTGTCCCCATCTTATTTAAACAATGGCTGCTTGCCTTCTCAGGGATCAGCAAAATGATTTAAAGATTTGTCATCCTGACAAGGCCTGAATATGAAGGGAGGAAACAGGGAGGATGGTGATTTTTTTTCCTGATCACATCACTTGACCCAAGCACCCCCTCCCTGCCCCACTCCCCCACGCCCCACAACTTTGCAAGCAATTTCTGTTCATTCAGTGTTGTTTCCAACTTAAAATCAGAACTAACTGGAAGATGAGCAGCACCCCCAAAATCAATCTTTCCTTCCTCCATGGGATTTTTTTCAATCTACGTACAGTACAGCTGTTTCTCTCCTCAAACCACATGCTCTTATGAAATGACAGCCCCACCAGTGTGGTTGCTCCCCATAAACAACACTAGGGGAAAGAACCCTTTTTGTTTTCAAAAAATGATTTTGAATGCTTTTATAAAGGGTGTTGAATAATTTGGCCCATGTTTTAATTGATTCTAGGCACCTTTATGGAGGGTAGTTTGTGAAACATGTTTCAAAAGTGTTTGATGTAAAATAAATGCTAGACATTTACAGTACAGAAATAGTTTTTAAAAATTAAAAACCTGTAGATTACAACTCTTCTTAAGAACCTCAGCCTTTATTGTGTCTTAGTAAAGTTGATCTGCTTTCATTTTAGTTTATTGCATTTCTGGTGTAATAGCCTCTGAAGATAGAACTATTAATACATATGTACTGGTTAATGCCTGTTAATGCAGAAAATGGCACTTTGTTATTTCAATGTGTTTCCCTCAATGTCACAGGGTATATAAATTTGATAGGAAAAGGTCATTTGACATTGATCAAAATACATTTCCCCCATTTAAAATGTATCTGTATAATTGGTTACATAAACAAATGTCGCCTTTTGCAGTATATGTATCTCAATCATAGTCTTAGACATCAACTCTGTCTCCACTTTCCAGTTGCAATAGAAATTTGGTATATTTGCAAATTCTGGTGAAATCTTATGAACTGAATGTAATGGTGGATCAAATGATCCAAAGGACTTGGGTGTTATTCTTTAGTCTTTGTTGAGCCATTTCGGACATTGGGAATGGTCGTTACACAAGGGAAGTCATTCGAGAGCATTTGATGCTTGGTTATGTTTTTTCTTTATTTTAGGCTGGTAAAATAAAAGGTAATTCAAATACACGGTGAGAGAAACTCACTGTAAATTTTTTTTGACATTGTGATAAGTTCCTTTTATTTGATTTTTGGTATGACTTTTACACAATCTCAACAGTGTTTCAATAGATATTTTATTTCTGTTAAGTTCAATCTAATCACTTAGAAAGGATGAAAGGGAAGAATATCAGACTACAATTCATACACACAATCACTCTCCACTCACTGAGACGCCATGTTGTATGTCAGTTTCTAGATTGAACTCTCTTATGTGTAAGTTATAACATCAAAGATGCCAAAGGGTATATAAAATAAGCTACAATAATAGTCAACAGAACTTAACCTGGACCTTATGTTGTAATAATTTATTCATAATAGCTGTAGTCTTCTGTATTTATATTTTCAGTATTTATTATGGATGACATGGAAATTCGTGTATTTATTGTGGCTTTTTATTGCAGTGTGTACATATATATTACAAATAAGCATTTTTAAGTCTTATCTTTAAGTTTCTTTTATTAGTGGCACTTGTATTATGCTGTACTTTTTATCAAATATTGTACAATATCTTGTCCATTTGTTTGCAGCAGAGTAAAACCGGTTTCTAAGTTGTATATATTGTTGCATTTTTGTTACATTTTGTATAAATCCTTTCTTACATTGAGTTATCACAACTTCCTTCTGTTATGCAGAATACACTCCCATAACGGATACATTCTTGAAAAGTCCTGCCTGAAGTCAGCTCCTGTGAAATTGCTCATTTCATTTTCATCTCAAAGGTGTTAACTTTATTATGATTGATCCCTAGCTGGAGACAATTATAAAATTTTTCCATCCTTAACTATTCAACCTCTTCATCAGGTAATGATATGTAAACAAATATCAGGAGCAGAGCAGAACTCCCTATTCAAATGGAATTTAGGGGAATAATTTTACAAAGCAGGCTCAGTCTCTTATAAGTAATAGCCTGTGATTCACCCACTTAGTGTTTTTGCTTGGTTTGCTTAAAGCTACTCCGTGTGGTTTGGTGTTTAGTATATGTGTACACATAAGTACATACATATACCTCTCTGTTTCGTGTCGCTGACTGAAGGTTACCAAACCCATGTTTATTGGCGGTAGAATGAATAGAAATTGTATCCTTGCTAATCACCTATTATATGCAAATCACTGTTCTCAAAACTAGTTTTCTTACATCAGGACACTGGCTCCAGATTTGCAAGTTAAATAATAATATGATTATGTGATTATCTTTAAACTCAAATTTAAACATGTGGCTCATTTAAAAAAAAAAAAACAAAACTTGTGCTGTTTCTTCCTTTTGCCATTTAGGTACAAACCAAGGGCCTCAGGCCTCCCTGGTGGCTCAAATGTTAAGCACAGCACTGTGAAGCTGTCCTGCAACCTCTGCAGCACGAGTTCCATCCCGGCTGGCCAGGGAGCTACCCACATGCTGTAGTTTAAAAAAAAAAAAAAGAAAGAAAGAAAGAAAGAAAGTAAAACCAAACTTTTCAGAATGGCCCACAGGCTGCTTAAGATATAGGTGAAAAGAACTTCTCCAGCCTTTTTATTCATCAAAACTTGCTTGCCTCTTTTATCCTCCCATCCCCACAAGTCAGACCACTTAGTCTTTTTTTTTTAAAGATTTATTTATTTATGCATACAAGAACTGGGGTACAGGCCAGAGTTGCAGGGGGTGAGAGGATTCACCAGAGAAAGTGGGGAGCAGAACAAGAAAATTGACTGAAATACACTGCTGAGGGGAGAATCAGGTGAGTCAGGAGAGGTCTGCTGCGCCATGAGGGGAACTCCCTGGCTGGGGAGCGAACTCATACTGCAATGGCTGCGAATAGCTTCATCAGTTGCATCCTAACCCCTTGTACCACCAGGGAGGCCCAACAGTGCTGTCTTTAACTACTGTGCCACCTGGGAGGCCCAGACCATGTAGTCTTTGCCTGTTATTCTAGTTTCCCTTTTGTCTAGAATATACACCCCATAACCCCATCCTCACAGTGTAATTCAAATGAGCAGCTACTTATTTTTCAAGAGAAAATTCAAATACCCCTCCATTTAGATTGTTCCTGAAAATCAATTACTTGCTCTCTTATGCCCAATGCTGACATTTATTAGAGCCCCCTTCAAGTCTCATCACACTCAGTAATCTATATACTCCCTCTACAGGTCTCACTGAGAACAGAAAAATAAGTCTTGTTACCATCCAAGTCCTGGGCATCCAGCTTAGTGCCTGGAGCTTAGTAGATGCTGAAAATAAGTCTACTGATCCATGTGCAAAGCAAAAATGAGTGGTGCATGTGTAGGAGTTCAGATAAAGGAAAGATGTCTGGCAGAAATGGTAGAGGAGGTGTCAGATTCAGGGGGGAGAGAATTTCAGCTAGTAGGGAGGATTCCATATTCCACATCATGGAGCAGCTTGGGGAGAGGCTGAGTCAGGATCACACCACCTGATCTGTGCAGGGTCAAAGAAGAATGTTGCTAAGAGCAGATGACTCGCCTTAGGAACAAATGAGTAATCAGATGAGGATTCAGATATTGCAAAGCTTTGAAGGTCAGTCCAGGGAGACTGACATATCTTTAGGGGGGAAAGGGAAATACTAAAGGTATTAGAAGAGCTAGTTGAAGTAACAGTAATGTTTGGTAGATTGAGATATCAGTGTGATTGCAGCACAGAGGGGGTCTGGGAAGATGGAAATTCCAGCAAAAAATTGTCCTCATACCCATTGCAATCATTATTCATTCAAAAAATAATTGTTGAGAACCTACTCTGTTTATTTTTTTATTTTATTTTTTTATTTTTTTTATAGAGGCATGTTATTTATTTATTTATTTGTTTGCTTTGTTTATACAAGCACTGGGTACAGTCAGAAGCGCAGGAGGGTGAGAGAATTCACCAGAGCCAGAGCAAGGAGCAGAGCAGGCAGAAGGACCGAAGTACACTGCTGAGGGGAGCAGCGGGCGGCAGGAGAGGTCTGCGCGCCATGTGGGACCCTCCTCCGGTGGCCAGGGAGCAGCCGGGGATCGAACCGGCGCCACGGAGGCTGCGGGCAGCTTCACAACCCAGCGCTCAACCGCTGCGCCACCAGGGAGGCCCGAGAACCTACTCTGTTTAGAAAACTGTGCTGGAGCAGGAAGGGACTATGGTGAACAAGACAGGCAGAATCCTACCAGACAAGCCAGGAGAGGGATCTAGGTGATAAGACAAGGTCAGTTATTTGGAGGCCTACTTAGGTGCAAGAGATTAAAAGTAATAAGACTGTAAACTCAGCTATGGTAAGTGTAACTTGGGAAGGACTCGAGGATAGATACGCCATTAACAGAAATAAGAATGTTATTGGGGATGAATAGATGTGCTGATTTTGGACGTTGCGTAATGAAGTAACAAGCTTAGACAAAGATGTAAGATTTGAGTGAGTGTTTTCAGGGGCAAATATATATATTATATATTATCTAAACAGAGAAAGAGAGAGAGAGACAAAGAGAGAGAGAGAGAGAGAGAGAGAGAGAGAAAGGAACACAACAAAGACGACTGAATCTTTCATTTAATTTTTTTTTTACATTCTAAAAGGACAAGTTTATTAGGAAAAGGAGAAAAAGAGGCACCTGACTAGTCACAGGTGGGCAGGAGAGCTGCCGCTCCTGTTTTCCAAAGAGAAAAGGTTTGTAAAAAGAAACACCTGCATAGTCACAGGCCGGCATGAGAGCTGCCAAGACTGAATCTTGTAGACGCTGCTGTTGCAAGTTGTGTTCTCCAGAAGTGAATGTTATGATGGAGCTTAGCAGGTAGGATTTTCAATAGAGACCAGTATCTGTGGGAGCTAGGGAGAAGAAGCAGATTAGGAACGGAGCCTCAGCCTCAGCTGGGTCAGCCCCACTGGGGAGCATTGGAGCCTAAAGGATCCCTCTGAGCCTGGTACGCTGAAAATAACGGGGGCTTGATAGCCACCCGACAATCCGTCACTGGATGCAGGCCCCCCAAGGTGAGTGGGTGCTCTGTAGTGGAGGAAGTGCCCAATAAGAGCTGACAGTGGGAGGCTGTTTGCTGACAGTACTCTCAGGAGCTAGGAAGGTCCTTCCCTCAAACAGAATTCTCAGAGGTGGCCAGCTCTGTGTCTTCCCTGGTTCATTCTTCAGATCTACTTCATTTAAAATTCAGGAAGCAGGGCCTCCCCGGTGGCACAGCAGTTGAGTGCTGGGCTGCGAGGCTGCCCACAGCCTCTGCAGCGCCGGCTCAATTCCTGGCCTCTGGCGAGGGTCCCACATGGCGTGGCAGACCTCTCCTGTCTCACCCACTGCTTCGCTCAGCAGTGTATTTTGTCAGTCTGCCTGTTCTGTTCCCCGCTCTGTCTCTGGTGAATCCTCTCACCCTCCTGTGCTTCTCACTGTACACGGTGCTTGTATAAACAAACAAACAAACAAACAAATCTTAAAAAAAAAAAAAAGTCAGGAAGCAGCTGCCAGGATTTGAGTAGACTGTTCTTCCTGGGGAAAACTTAGAAAGTTCAGTTAGTAGAATAACCTACACCTCCTGCCACTCCAATTGATCTTAGAACCACAACTGAAATCCAGAGTATATTCTATGCTGGCAGCACATTTCCCCTGAGCTAGTCCCACATAGCTAGTGGGTGCTGTGATGGACAGCACAGGTCTGTACTGCTGTTTTGTGGCTCTTCTGTGGTGGGTGCTCTCTGGTAGGTGTCACCCATGATACTAAGATCTTCTTACTTGGTGCCTCCTCCCACTTGTCCATCTACATGACCCCACGCAGACCACCTTTCCCCAATTTCAAAATGTCTCTCCTTTCAAGCCCCTCACCAGCTCTTCACCTCTCCCCAGGGGTACCTGTGTATTCAAACAGAGTTACTTCTCCTACCACACAAAACAAAAGACCAGCTATACCACAAATGCTCTGCTCATTTTACTTTATAGTTTTTTAGGTTTTTTTTTTTTTAAGATTTATTTTATTTATGCATACAAGAACTGGGGTAGAGGCCAAAGGTGCAGTAGGGGTAAGAGGATTCACCAGACAGAGTGGTGAACCCAACTCATGAAACAGTTCCAGATTCCTAGGCAGCATTTCATCCCTATGAAACCTCAGTAATATATCAGGAGTGTTTTTTTTTTTAAATAAAGATTTATTTATTTATGCATGTAAGAACTGGAGTACAGGCCAGAGGTGAGGGAGGGTGAGCGGATTCACCAGAAACAGAATGGGGAGCAGAACAGGCAGACTGACTGAAAACACTGCTGAGGAGAGTAGCAGGCAAGGCAGGAGAGGTCTGCTGCACCATGTGGGTATCTCCCTGGCCAGCCGGGGATCGAACTTGTGCTGCAGAGGCTGTGGACAGCTTCATAGTGCTGTGCTTAACCCCTTGCGCCACCAGGGATGCCCAGGAGTTGTTTTTATTAGGTATCAGTATCTGTAGATGCAAGGAAGAGGAAGCAATTGAACAGAGGGATAGGTTGAACTGTGACACATTTCTGACAAAACCTGAGTCCAATCCACAGGGCACTCCAGATCTTCTAGGGTGGCCCTTGGAGTTGCCCCCTAAGGAGTCCATAGTGTCAGCTCTTTATAGCCCCACCAC